ACGCAGTCCTTGCGCCTGCTCGTGTGGGCGAACGGCTGCGCGCAGAAGAACGCAGTTTTCGACTCTAGCTTCAGGGCACTGCAGCGCTTTTGCCCCTTATGCTGAAATATATATTTGTCTAGAAGCTCACCTCACTACTATCTCGCCAAATAGGTAACCATTATTCCTCTGGCGGGTCCATGTGCATGCGTTTAAATTAATGTTTGTCAGCAGTCTTCAAAGAGTAGCGACACTTTTTGCACTCTCGGCAATTCCAGATAGGGGTGTCCCTCAGTGACGGCATTTGTGAGCGACTGAGAGGTGTTACGTATTGTTCCAATACGTCCCTAGAAGCGTCTTGCAAAGACACGTCTAGTCGTCTAGTCATGTACTTCAACAACCCGTAGCACCTCTCAGTCGCTCACAAATGTCGTCTGACGGACGTTTTATACCATTTTTTCTGGAATTGCCCCACTATAATCTCATGGACCCCGCGTAAATTAATCCTCAGTTGTTAAGCGAGTTGCGATATTATTCGGTCTTTGCCGAATGTGTTCGAAGGTTCTTTCGAGTCCCTTCGCCGCCTATATTATTAGTCTTGCATAGTGACTGTTTGAGCGCGAGTCCCTCGGTACGGGTACTGTCTGAGCCCTAGTCCCGCGGCACGCGCACTGCCTGAGCCCTAGTCCCGCAGCGCGCGTACTCTTTTGAGTCCTAGGCCCCTCCTGTGAGTATCAAAAGCGCCCTAGTCTCGTGCGACGCGTCCTCTTTGCGCCCTAGTCCCCTCCGATGAGTACTAAACGCGCCCTAGTGCGCGCGGGACGGTCACTCTTTGGGGACTAGTGCGCTCGGGAAGGGTACCGCGTGGGTCCTAGGGCGCTGATCAAGCGTACAATAACGCGCACTGGTCTCGTCTGGGAGACCGCCAAACGCACAAGTCCCACAGCTCAACGGACCTCGCAGCGCACTAGTCTCACAGCGAACGTACTGAATGGGTCCTGTTTGGGGACTGAATGAGACCGTTTGGGGACTGTTTGGGTACTGATTATTTTCGTAAGGGTAGTATCATTCGTCTCGACTATGTTTAAACAGCTATCCTGTGGCAGAAAAAGTAATGAACTAAGGAATGCAATAATAAAT